AAAGTACCCCCAGCAATCACTTGAACAAAAGTACCCCCAGCAAATAAGCCAGTGTGGGAACTGTGGGAGAAAACACTACAGATCAGAGAAATGTCCAGCAAAAGGGCAAACCTGTTACCTATGCAACAAGCCCAACCATTTTGCACAAGTATGTCGATCAAAAGGGAGGCGGAGCCAAATACACCCTATCGAGAAGGTAGAATGTGACCCCTCAATGACCCAATTTGAAACTCTAACTTTTGAATCAATCACTGTAGCTAATGTTAACCACCAAAATTTGAAGGCAGACGAAGTGTTTGCAGAGGTGGGCATCCACCTAAATCCAAAGCCCAAAGCAACAGTCAAGGCTTCCCTACAAACACACGCAAAGGCATCACTGAAAGCCAAAGTCGATACTGGTGCCCAAGGGAATATACTCCCCCTAAGATTATACCGGGCTATGTACCCCTGCAAAATTGATCTGAAGGGCAACCCCAAGAAAGGAGCTACAAAACATTCTAATACTATCCTCACAGCATATGGGGGATCCAAGTTACACCACCATGGCACCGTCACCATTGATTGCGAATTCAAAGGCAAAAGATCTGCTGCACAGTTCTATGTCACAGACACACAAGGCCCTGCTATCATTGGCCTACCAACGTTGATTGACCTCAACCTTGTGAAATTCAATTGTGCCATACTCAAACAAGTGTTACACAGCAACACACTATGGCCCACCACAAGAACCCCTGAGCAACCACCACTAACCACCAGAACCCCCGAACGACCACCAATACCCAAACCAATAAAGAGCAAAGAAGATTTGATAGATCAATACCCAAACTGTTTTAATGGTATAGGAAAATTCGAAGGAGAATACCACATAACCACCGACCCATCAGTCCCACCTGTTATCCACCCTCCGCGACGAGTTCCAATCAGTCTGAAAGATGACATTAAGAAAGAACTAGACGAGATGGTTGCAAATGGTATCATAACTAAAATAAACAAAGGAGAGCCCACAAGATGGGTAAACAGTCTTGTCTACAAGAGGAAACAGAATGGACGATTGCGTTTATGCCTAGACCCCAAAGACCTAAACACAGCTATCTTAAGAGAACATCACGCCATTCCTACCTTGGAAGAAATTTTACCAAAATTACACAAAGCAAAGTTCTTCTCAATAGTCGATGCAAAGTGTGGCTATTGGAATGTGGTACTTGATGAAGAATCAAGCTATTTAGCTACCTTTAACTCCCCATTTGGCAGGTACCGTTTCAAGCGTATGCCCTTTGGGCTGAACATGTCACAAGACATCTTCCAAGCAAAGATCGACCAAACATTCGAAGGATGTAGAGGCGTTGTGGGTATCGCAGATGATATTGTTATCTCTGGCACAACAGAAGAAGAACACGACCAAAATCTACGAAGCATGATGAGCCGGTGCCAAGACACAGGTCTGAGACTAAACCCTGACAAATGCCACATAAAGCAAGAGAAAATAAAGTTTTATGGGCTTATCTGCGGTCCAGAAGGAATTCAACCAGACCCTGACAAAGTGTCCGCCCTGAAGCAGATGGCCCCACCGACCAACAGCAAAGAACTACAGACATTCTTGGGTCTGGCCACCTATATGGCACCATTCATCCCGAATCTCAGTCACCACACTGCCTCACTGCGACAGCTACTCAAGAAGGAGAGCAAGTTTGCCTGGGACGCAAGCCAACAGGATGTGTTTGACAGGATCAAGAATTTAATTTCTGAAGAGGTTACACTAACATACTTCGACCCAGAGAAAGAGACAGTACTGCAAGTTGACGCATCAACAAAAGGCCTGGGAGCTACACTCTTGCAAGAAGACAAGCCAGTCGCCTTTGCCAGTAAAGCTTTAACTGACGTAGAATCACGATACGCAAACATCGAAAGAGAACTCTTAGCAGTTGTATACGGATGCGAGAAATTCCACACTTATCTCTACGGCCGCAGTTTTACAGTCCAATCTGATCATAAACCCCTTGAATCTATCCACCTTAAGCACCTTACATCAGCCCCACCCCGCCTGCAACGGATGTTGTTGCGCCTACAGCCGTACAGCCTTACAATCAAGTACCGTCAAGGAGCAGATATGGAAATCGCAGATGCCCTATCAAGACTTTCGCCCCAGGAAACAGAGCCCATCTCTGACATGGACGTCCAAATACACGAAATCTGTCCACAATTTAGTAGTGGGATTCTGCAGGAGATCCGCGTGGCAAGTGCAACAGATACGGAGCTTAAATAATTAAATGATGTGGTTTACAATGGATGGCCAACGAACATAAAGCAGGTTCCAGAAATCCTCAAACCCTATTGGACCTTTCGTGATGAGATCACCACCGAAGATGGTATAGCAATGAAAGGCCAACGTATTATCATCCCCCATAGTATGCAGAGCATGATACTTACGAAGCTTCACGCAGGTCATCAAGGGTCCGAAAAAACTAAATTAAGAGCACGAACATCGGTTTACTGGAGAGGAATGAACAGTGACATTGAGAATACATGTCAAGAAATGCAGAACAGTCAACCCAAAGAGCCACTTATCCAGACAGAGGTACCGCCAGGTCCATGGCATACCATCGGCACGGACTTATTTTACCTAGACGGAGCGAAATACCTATTGGTCGCTGACTACTACTCAAAATACCAGTTCGTGCGAGAGGTACCAAAAGGGAAGAGCAGCAGTAGGACAATCGCGAATTTAACGAAAGAAATTTTCAGCGAACAAGGAGTACCCAAAATCGTAAGATTCGATAATGGGCCCCATTTTGAAGGACAAGCATATAAAGAGTTCGCAAAGCAATATAATTTCCAACATACCACAAGCTCACCACACTACCCCAGAAGCAATGGGTTTATTGAGAGCCAAGTCAAGACTACGAAAAAGACAATGAAAAAAGCAAGAGCAACCAATACAGACCCACTCATGGCTTTGTTATGCTTACGGGCAACTCCAATCAACAGCACTCTTCCATCCCCAGCTGAACTCTTATTTGGTAGACCAATCCAAGACAACCTGCCAAAGAAAATACCGAAAGGAAAAACAACTGAGGAGGTGACTAGCAGATTATTACAGCGGCAAGCTACGCAGAAATACTACCATGACAGAAATACAAAACCGCTCCAACCATTAAAACCTGGTCAAAGCATAACCATCCAAGACCCAAGGACACAAACCTGGAAACCCGCAGAGATAAAAGAGAAAATTCAAGAAGTACCCCGATCTTACATTATCACGAAACCAGGAGGAGGAGAAATCAGACGAAATCGAACACAGATACGAGAACGCCCACAAGATCCAATGGAACAAGCATATCAACAACCCTGTGAGAAAACACTAGACCACCCCGAAATCCCGTTCCCTAATTAAGAGCACCCAAGAAAGCCACCAATACACAACGCGTAGCGGCAGAATAGTAGTACCCCCAACACGTTTAGATATGTAGAAAGAAATTGAACACAAGACGACAGTCTGTAAGTGACTTGATATTATATATATACAAAACATCTTATCTTATTGATATCTAAAAGAAACTATAGTACTATACTGAAACTCAAGGAACTATAAACTTTCATATTAATGTTAGCGAAAGGAGGATGTAATGATATACTTCCGGTTTGAGACCCCCCATGGGGCCTGGTGTTGTTGTTGTACTTATCTTGTAAAAATACAAAGCTCGAAGACTATTACAGGAGTTAGGAGTCAAATGGCCGGCAGCGTTTTACTAAAATTTAATTGTTTACAACATGACAACAACATTACAAATCTTATGTTAAGCTAATCCAAATTTTGTTGTAGAGACCTTGTTTACTTATCTTTCGAAAGGATTTCAAAAATATATAATGTGTTTCGTGTTAAGATAGAAAATAATTTTTAAATGAAGAAACCAGCTGATCTCGTGTTCGTATTTTAGCCAATCAGCGCTCAGAAAGGGTTGTCCGAATAGAAATCCATTTCGATGTATTCAGTCAATTATATCTTTCGTTATTCTTTATGAAACTAGTTGAAATTTTGTAATTATGTTTGGTTATGAGAGCTATAGCACTGACAAAAATATGGAATCGAAATAAAGTATATTACAGGAGATATTCAGTTGCTTTAATCATAAAATGGATTTCTATTTGACAACTAGTGCCAGTACTTTTCCGCGTATCAAGATCATCTGGAGAGTGAATGGCCTTTGCATGTATTAAATATTTAGTTTAGACTGTAGTATCAAATTTCGTCGGGACATTTGGTGAAAACTTGCTCAAACCTTTACATACTTTATATAATCTTATCGCTATACAACTACGAGTTTAAAAATGTTTATGAATAAACTATTGGTTGAGTATTTTAAAAATTATCCAAAGTTTAGTACTGTTCAATCTCGTTCTATGCCCACCCTTAACCTGCGAACGGGCATGCTCGGGGAACGAGATTGAGTACTGTTCCGCTATATTTAGGCTATATGCCATGCATGCTGTCATATGTATTAAAATATTTTGAAATTCTCAGTACAAAACTTATATAATTTTTAAAATACTTAACCAATATACCTCATTAAAACATTTTTAAACTCCTGGTTGCATAACGATCCATGCAGCATGAACATTGAATGAAATCCCCCCTCCTCCATATCGACGGTTGCATTCTACAGAAACTGCACTTGTTAAAGTTCAAAATGATATTTTGATGAGCATAGATCAACGGGAAATAATCTTGCTGGTGCTGTTGGATTTAAGCGCCGCTTTTGACACGATAGATCACAAGATCATGATTGAAACTAATTTAGAATTTGTATTTTGCGTTTGTGGAAATGCACTCGATTGGATTACGTACTCTCTAGACGTTTCCCCGTGCGTTGTAGAGTTCGACAAGGTAGTTGCTTGGGACCAATTTTTTTCCTACTGTACGTGTCTAAATTGTTTGAAACTGTTGACATAAACATCTACCATCCTCACATGGTTATGCGGATGATACACAACTCTAACTATCTTTTCGTCCGGATTCACTAAATTGTAGAAATTTAAATGAAGATGTTCGTGCTTGGATGGTTTCACATAAGTTGATGTTTAAAGCAAGTTTATGCATGCCATGCATAGCATTATAAACTTAAGTTAATGAAACAAGCGTTCGGACAAGAGAATAAAGTTGTGCAAAGTCCCTCGCAGTACAAAGGTCTGGTACAAAGGTCAATCTGTGAACCGTGTGATCATATACACGTGCAAAGCGCAAGGCTGAACTAACAACAAACCATTGTCAAATCTCTTCCCATGCGTGCGTGAAAATAGACCAATCAGGTTGCGCCTCTTCGTCTGCACAGTTTTCTACTTGGATCAGTAAGCCTTGTGCGGCAAAGTGCTTTTGAAATTTCCAAACTTTACCACTTTATCATAACTCGTACAGGTATCACAAAATAAATAAAAATCTGTAAATATTGTTTTGATATGCAATCCGTCATCAAGATTCGCATAGACTGCAATTCATGTAGTGTTATATATAGAGTATTAGGCACGTCTAGATTTTGTAATAGTATACAGTATTGGAATTGACTTTGCAAGTCTGGTTGTAAAAATAAAAATATTTGGTTGTTGGGGACGGAGTGCTCCCAAAGGTCACCTTCAACCCCATAGACTCACACAAATCAATGTATTATACAGTGTATTGTGAAGTAAACAATGACCATCTCGGGGGATCTAGTGATCTACTACCTCTTGGATATTAAAGTAAACAATGATCATCACGGGGATCTACTACCCCTTGGCTAAAGTCCAACATGGGGGAACCACGACCCCCTGAGGACATATATTTATATCATAATCATATTGCTATAATGATGAGTCTGTGGTGCGCACTTTGGCCACAGTTTAAAGTATAACCGAATATAATAATTACTTTTTCACATAGTTTTCAGTTCGAGGCCGTCCCCCAATTCTGGAAAAAATAGTTGAAGCCGCCCCCTTTTCTTACGCACCGCCCCCCCCCCCCTTCCCATTATTAATGACCCGTCCCTTATCATCATGTGAGCGCTTTATTTAAATAATTAAATTATTATTACTTTCATATAACCCCCCCCAGTGATTTAAGCGAACTGAAAGACCAGTATGCTTTGGCCCGCTGCTCTTGATACAATTTTAAAATTACTTTACAGATTCGCTATCATGCAGCACTTCCATACAGCATAATGGGAGCAATATGTCTTCAAGCAGCTGTACTTGGATTATTCTTACCAGAAACCAAGGGTGTACCAACCTTGGAGACCATGGATGATATGAATAAAAAAGAAGGAGTCGCTTTACTTGTGAATGGAAACGGTAAAGCTGACACGAATGAGAATGAAGCTGAACCAGTGTAACTGCATGGTCAGCAAGAAACTTGGGTTTAGAATCAGCGACCGTAGAATAGAATTTTAGTCTGTGTCGTTCTTACATCTATGTCGTCAGTGGCGTAGCCAGAACGATAATTGGGGGTGGGGGGTGGGAGGGTGGCATATTCATATATTCGTGTTCTGCTTAATTAATTTCTTTTGAAATCAATTGTTTTTATGGTATGTGAACACGAATATATGAATATGCCCCCCCCCCCAATTATCGTTCTGGCTACGCCACTGTATGTCGTTTGTAACTTTGTAACTCTGTTTAAATACAGCATCCTGAGACATGCATAAAAAATTCCGAAAAAGTAAAAGACCGGTTATTAATTTTCATTTTTACTCGACGACCTCTCTCTGAATTGAGACTGCAGTTCAGTACAGTTAGAGCTATCAGCCAGCTGTAGACCATTTCGCGACTATCGTCTTCTAGAAAATTTAACGTTGGCGAAAGAGCCATTGAAAGTAGGAAACAAAAACCAAACGTACATACATACATATACTTACACATACATACAAACGAAAAACAACATTTTGCTAACGTTAATTTTCTTAGAAATTGTCGTTTTCTTTTATGGCTGATATATCTGGTTGTGCTGCCCCATCTCTAAGTCTGTTATCCGATGAGAGAATTATCCGATCATACCATATTTAATGCTTAATATTATAATAATACATTTGCCCAAATTTCGAATTGCAACGTATAATGAACGTGTTTGACGAAATGTTTTTAAAGATATCGAAATTTCTCAATACTTACAGCAACATTAACTTGCACACTTTTCATCACAAAAAAGGGCACCTTTGGTCCTTTGAAAAAATTTGGGGGACACGCGACCCCTCTCCCCCCTCCGGTTCCTACGCCCCTGACTCACAGGCGCGCTGAAACTATAAGCGAATATTAGCAAGCTGTGTGCGAGTGACGATGACGTAAGGGATGTACAACGCCCATATATGTCTTGAAGCTTAATACACGTAACACTAGAAAATACATGCATGCAGAAACCCTCGCCTTGCTGACAAAACCATTGTATTTTCCGAATATGAAGTATCTAAAGTAGTTGTCATGGTAACACGATAATTTTTTAAGAATATTCTTACAAATGAAAAATCGCCTAAAAATATCACTTTTAATTACAACACGTTCTACTATAGGGTCCAATATTCTATTTAACAGAATTTGAGTGGAAAATGAAAGAAAACACTAAAAAATGCAATGAATACAGCCATGACTGTGGAGAAATTGTGGAGAAATATAATAATTCTGCATGAAAACAAGAATTCCTTTTCAAACATGATAAAATTTGGTTAAAAACATAAGAATAATTGCAAATGTGGACAATGACAGATTTCATGTTTTAATAGGAAAATCACATCAAATTCATGTTAAAAATGCAAGGGTGGATAGTAGCGAAGTAGTTGTAGTTCGCTACTGTAGCGAACTACAATTTTCAAGTAGCCAGTAGTTTTTGACTACTTTTTTGAAACTGTAGCTGTAGTTATAGCGAACTACATTTTGCCTAAAAGTAGCCAAGTAGTTGACTACTTTTCAAACAGCAAATCGCTATTCGCTACTTTTTAAAAATGTTATCAACTTGATAGAGTAGCATGATATTGAGACACGGTTTACTTAAAATCAATACTCAATAGTCAATTTACACTCTTGAACACTGTAGTTATTACAAACATGTTGCTTTGTGTTTACTGTTGCTACTCGTAAGTCGATTTGTTATAGATTACATTTCAACCTGAGTTAGTGGATGCTCCAAATACAGTAAAACTAAAAAAGATAGCGTAGCGAATAGCGAAATAGTTCGCTACATTTTTAAGCAGTAGCTGTATATAGTCAGTAGCGAACTACCTTTGTTCAAAAGTAGCAGTAGTTGTAGCTGACTACATATTTTTGAAGTAGCTGTAGTTATAGCGAACTACAAAAATTTTGTAGTCAACCCACCCTTGTTAAAAATGACTGGAAATATATTCAGCAAAAACATACACATTTTGCAACAATTTTAGC